AAGATTATACTTGTTCCACATTATAATCTGTTTTTCTTCCCATCTAAAGAGATTTCCTAGTTATACATGCATTCCACATCGACGGTCCTTACAACACCTTGTGAGGATAGTAGAATAATATGAACTAGTCTAGGATGATCTAAAATCTAAAAAATACGAAGTAACTAACTTCCTTCCTGATATTTATATACATGGCCAAATGCAATATTTACTTGTACGCAGCATGATATACTAATTTGCCCTCTGAAGGAAATGCTTTTTTTATTCATCCTTCTCAATTATGCAATCATCTACTAAACGTTATTAATATGTAGAAGATCACCTGGAGTCATGTCCTATGTACACAACTTGAAGAAGCACACTATATCATGAGAAATTTAGAACCATTCACCATACATGTTTGATGGAATTGTGAGACTCTGACATATCATGCACGCTAGGTAAATTCAGAGTCAAGTAGAATTTGCGAGAAGCTGATGTAAGGATTGCGATTTACATGAATTCTTTTCTGCTAAGTCAAGATTTAATGTTGAATGTAAGTTTACATTGGCTATTCCGAGGCATGAATTAAATGGATAAAGGACAAACAAAATTGCACAAGTACTTACTAGTCTTGACCATATATGGTAGTACTATGTCTAAGTAGTATAAACTTAATAACATATGCAATAAAGTGAACAAATTTTATTACTGTTTTTATATTTGCTGTATCTGTGTAACTATCTCCTGGATCAAGATACAGACTGATTCAGAATTCCAGAAGGTTCCACCCCAATGCATTTTCCTAGTCAATACCAATTCCCAAAGGTAACCACTATTCTGATGCCAGCACCATAAATTACTTTTAATTTTTTTTAACTTTTTTTTTTTTGAGACAGAGTCTCGCTTGTTTTTTCCCAGGCTAGAGTGAGTACCCTGGCATCAGCCTAGCTCACAGCAACCTCAATCTCCTGGGCTCAAGCAATCCTCCTGCCTCAGCCTCCTGAGTAGCTGGGACTACAGGCATGCGCCACCATGCCCGGCTAATTTTTTCTCTATATATTATCTGGCCAATTCATTCCTTTCTAATTTATAGTAGAGACGGGGTCTCGCTGTTGCTCAGGCTGGTTTCAAACTCCTGACCTCGAGCAATCCGCCCGCCTCGGCCTCCCAGAGTGCTAGGATTACAGGCGTGAGCCAGGGCGCCTGGCCTACTTTTAATTATTTTTGAACTTCATATAAATGCATTCCTAAAGTATATAATCTCTTATGTCTGGATTCTTTCATGTATCCTATCTGTGAAGTTCATCCATGAACAAAGTATAATTTTTAAAATGTTAATTATAACTTAATGCTAGCATTGAATTTAGAGATATTTGATTTTAAGAAATGAAAAAAGTCCATTTTATATATTTAAATATTTATATGCAAATATTTAATATTAAAACTTGATTTACATACTGCAAATTAGTGTTGTTAGAGGTTACAGAAACTTCTAAACCAAGTTTTGTTTTTTTTAGAGACAGAGTCTCGCTTAGTCACCCAGGCTGGAGTGCAGTGGCGTGATCATAGCTCACTTCAGCTTTGAACTTCTGGGCTCAAGTGATTCTCCCACCTCAGCTCTCCTAAGTAGCTGGGACTACAGCCACAACCAATGTATTTTTTAAACTCTCTTTAGTAGTACCAATTAAGCACCAACCATACATTCTATGATAATGCAAATTGTTTCCTTTGTAAGGAGACAATATTTAATTTTTAGGGTTATATAGAAATAAAAGATGCAACCATATGTGTAATTTTGCATAGTGACATCTATACCTTTTTGAAAGTCTGGTGCTTTAATTCCTTAAAAAAGTCTAATGAATGAGATTTGGGAAGTCACAATTTTTCCCATAAGTACAATGGTTGACAAAATTGTGGGACTCACTAGTATAGACCTGAGTAAGCTATCCCAACATACTCCCTTTGATTCCATAAGGGTTGCCAATAAAAACTGTGGAGGCCGGGCGCTGTGGCTCACGCCTGTAATCCTAGCACTCTCTGGGTGGCCAAGGCAGGTGGATTGCTCCAGGTCAGGAGTTCAAAACCAGCCTGAGCAAGAGTGAGAACCCATCTCTACTAAAAAAATAGAAAGAAATTAGCTGGACAACTAAGAAATACATATAGAAAAAAAATTAGCTGGGCTTGGTGGAGCATGCCTGTAGTCCCAGCTACTCGAGAGGGCTGGGGCAGAAGGATTGCTTGAGCCCAGGAGATTGAGGTTGCTATGAGCTAGGCTGATGCCATGGCACTCTAGCCTGGGCAACAGAGTAAGCCTCTGTCTCAAAAAAAAAAAAAATGTGGCTTTTGGACAGGGTAATCTTTGGTACAGGATTAATGTTACAAAGAAAGGAAAAGATCTAGAAAGAAGAATATAGAGAAAGAATAGGAATGTGTTAATATTACAAATTTTACTTAAGAAACCAAGTTTGGCAACTGGAATATTTATAACTGCACAAATGTGAAACCTAGGCGTTTTGATTTTTATATATAACATACATATACAAATATATGAGCTAGATCTTACATACATACAATCTTGTATATATAATACATATATTTTTTCTTTTGCAGAAGGTAGGCAAACAATCAAACTGATAGTCTTCATTACTAATTAATCATTTTTTGATATGCTTATTTTTCTTTTTGCCATAGCACATAAAAGTTCTGTAGAACAGGGGTTACAAAACTTGCTATCATCTTGGAATGCATTTGGCTGCAAGTAGCAGAATTTCTGAATAGTAATTAATAGCTTACACCTTATCTTATATGAATTCTAGAGGTGGGTGAGCCCAGGGTTCATTAGTTCAGCAGCTTCACAATGTCAGGGATCTGCACCACTGTCTCTGCAGCTCATCATGGTTTCCCCATCATGGCTGCAATCCTAGACTTCAAGTCTTTTCATAGCCATATTCAGGCAGGAAGAGGCTGGTAAAAAAGTGCTTTCTTTTTGCCAGTCAGGTAAATCTTTCCCAGAATCTCCCAGCAGACCCCCCTCACATGGTTAGCTACTGGCTACTCCTGGTTGCAAGAGAGGCTGTGAAAGAGAGAGCAAAGGAATACCACATTTTGGTAGCTTGAAAGTGGCAGGTGGGCAGGGGAATGGCTTTTTGATGTATGCAACTAATTGTATTTGTTATAGCTGATGATCAGAATCACCTGATGAGTTGGGGGTAAAAAAGTCCTGGGCTATATTCAAGAGTAAATGAATCATAATGTTCCAGGAATAAGAATTTTCTTAAACATTCTTTTTATGAACTTATGATCAGAATTTTGGAACTTCTGTAATAAAGCACTGTAATATTTTAGAATATATGATGCAGCCTTGATATCCTGTCTAATATCAAAGTGTAATAAACTAATTTACTACCTTAAACTGATTGATTATATTAAAACAAGGCCTTCATTCTCATTTCTGAGTTCTGGTAAAACATAGTTTTTAAATTAGAAAGGATAATTTCTAAAGAAATATAAATAAACTAAATACAATAAAATCTGCTTTAAAAAACCCAAGGCAATCTTTTTCTTAGCATTAAAAAATAAAATGCGGCCTGGCGCAGTGGCTCATGCCTGTAATCCTAACACTCTAGGAGGCCGAGGCAGGTTGATCGTTTGAGCTCAGGAGTTCGAGACCAGCCTGAGCAAGAGTGAGACCGCATCTCTACTAAATATAGAAAGAAATTAATTGGACAGCTATAAATATATAGAAAAAAAATTAGCTAGGCATTGTGGCGTATACCTGTAGTCCCAGCTACTGGGGAGGCTGAGGCAGAAGGATTGCTTGAGCTCAGGAGTTTGAGGTTGCTGTGAGCTAGGGTGACACCATGGCACTCTAGTCTGGGCAACAAAGTGATATTCTGTCTCAAAATAATAATAAATAAATAAAAAGAAAAAAATAAAATGCAGCCATTAATATATGTCACTAGGTGATGCTCTTTGTTAAATTTCTCTCCCAGTAATATGTGGAATTACAACTCATTCATTCACATGGGAAACAACTTATGCTAGCTCTCATAACACCTTAGTTGGTTCTTTAATCACTAAATTTAAATAGTCCAGAAAATAAATTTATATGTCAAAAGAAAAGCCACATAAATATATGGGTGAGAATCCTTCTGTAAGACTATAAGCTTAGAACACTGAGACTTCCATATCATAAACATCTCTATTTATTTTTGTCTGTTTACTTTAATGTCTCGAGAAGATTTTATATTTTTGTTGACAGAGTTCTTCAGAACTTTTTGATTTATTCCTAGGTAACATTTTGTTATGTCACTGACATGTTATCTGTGTCTTTACTTTTTTCTGCTGAAATATTTTAAAGTACATTGACATTACACCCCTAAATATTTCAGTATGCATTTCTAAAAAAAATTGTTACACTTAACAAAAATCATTCCTTAATATCATCTATTACCACAAATCAAATACTCAATAAACATAAAAAGGGGCTTAAGCCTATTAGTAATTAGAGAAATATAAATTAATAAGACTAAAGAGATACTGTTGCACACGTACCACATTGGCAGGAATCTTAGAGTCTGATACCAATGAAGCGTTAGAAAGAAAGCAGAGCACTGAAACTCTAAAACATTGCTATATTTCATCTGTCTTGGCAACTAAAAAAAAAAATAAAAATAAAAATAAAACATTGCTATGAGGAAAGGAAAAAGGATCTCCGGAAAAATAGCTGCATATTATTAATATATAGTAAAACTGAAGATACATATACCCGATTCCCTTTACCACTGCAATATATCTCACAGAAATACACGCATGCATACCAAGAGGCACATATAACAATGTTCATACCAGTATTGTTTTCAACAAGAAAAATTTGAGATAACTCAAATGTCTCTCAACATTAGAAAAAATAAACTATGGTAGGTAAATGCATGGAATAACTCACAGTTATATACAGTAATGTAAAATGAACAAATTACAGCTCTTGCAACATGGATCAATCCCACAAATTTTATAACAATGAAAAAAGGAGACACAAAATAGTATATATAGTATAAATTTGTTCATACAGAGTTTAAAACCAGGGCTTGTCACTTATTTTCCAATGATTCAGCAAATAAAATATACATGTATATCCATCTATTGAGATATAAAGAAAACGTGGTAAAATGTTAACAACTGAAAATCTAGATGAACAGTATGGAAAGGTTCACTAAATTATTTTGCTACTTTTCTATAAGTTTGAGATTTCTCAAAATAAAAACGTAGGAAAGGGCTCCAAAATCAGACAAAGCTAATTTATATTATTTAGGAATACAAACAGAGGTGGTAAAAAAATAAAGAAAACAATTATCAAAATTCAGAAGAGTGACAACTCTGGGAAGAACTTTTGCTGAGAGAGAGCCTTGGGGGGATTTCTGGTGCCAGCAGTTTCTGCACCTTGGTATAAATGAACACATTTTCCTTTATGATTATTTATTAAACTATACATATACATTCTATGCAGTTTTTCTGTATGCATAGTTTACAAAAAAGATTAAAAACAATGTAATATGATATACAAAAATACTTTTAAAGAAAAATTGCTATATACTTTTTAGACATTATTATAAAAAATAAAATGCTTCTGCTTTGTAACAAGCAAATGTAAGAGGCTTTTGCTATGTGAGTTGTTTACTTGAGAATACTCTATCAAAAGGTACTTCCGGAGGACCAATTTTTGAGGCTGGTAATATAATAATGTCATCTTATTTTTACATGAGATAGTTCTTATATAAGCATCAATTCTGAATCTTGCTTAGTTTGTTATTAGGTGATACATTCTTCTAAATAATTCCCATGAACTGTGATATTCTAGCATACTCAACTTAAAAACTTGCTATAAGAAAACTCTGGCTGAAAGTCTTATGATTATTCAAATATGACATACAATTTATATTATTTATGTATAAATTTTGCCTATTTTTTATAGCTTTTTCTGATTGTATCATTAGGATTTCACAGTACTTGTGAAATACCCAAAGTCAAGAGTTGGTCAGAATTCCACAACTGACTTTTAATGTAGTGATATTAATTCACTTGATATCTTCTGTGTCCTCTAAATCAATATCAAAATCTAAATCATCATCACTTTCTTCATTTCTTCTGCAGCTTCTTCTATGGTTGGAACTTTGATTATTTCCAACATTTTCTGTTTTATCTGGTTCTTCATTAAACCTAAAGATGGGGAAAAAAAAGAACAAACCTTCTAATTACTTCCCAAGTTTTCATTATTTAACTATGTAGATTGGAAAGACTTTTACCACACCATATTTCTCGATTAACAGAGGCCTAACAAAATAAGTATAGAGAAAAAGATCTTTTAACACTAACTCAAGATCCAACCAATTATAATATTATCACCACTAAAGTAGGCTCAAAGTAATTAATATATGTGTACATTAATATATTAACTGCCACGTGAGTTGTATTTAACTCATGTTAGTTTTGAGCCCAGGGCTTCAAGCAGCAAAACCTGGGCAAAACCCTGCCTTTGGTTTGTGAAAATCTTACTTGTTGATGTTCTTATTGTTACAGTAATATCGACAATTTAATTCTAAAAACATGGATTAAATGAAGTAGAAGTCAATACATTTCATTTTTCATTAAACCTTTTTTTTTTTTTTTTGAGACAGAGTCTTGCTTTGTTGCCCAGGCTAGAGTGAGTGCCCTGGTGTTAGCCTAGCTCACAGCAACCTCAAACCCCTGGGCTCAAGCAATCCACCTGCCTCAGCCTCCCGAGTAGCTGGGACTACAGGCACGTACACCACACCGGCTAATTTTTTCTATATATATTAGTTGCCAATATTTCTTTGTATTTATAATAGACAGGGTCGTGCTCTTGCTCAGGCTGGTTTTGAAGTCCTGATCTCGAGCAATCCACCTGCCTTGGCCTCTCAGAAAGCTAGGATTACAGGCGTGAGCCACCACGCCCGGCCTAAACTTTTCATTTAATTAGAAGGATTGTTTTGTTTTAGAAGTTTTTGTTCTATTTCGTAATAAAACACCATGACCCCAAAGAAAAATGTTTTTTTCTAGTGTGGCAGTCAATGTGTTAAACTTGTTATAATAACAAGTAATTCTTTTGTAAAGAATGTGAACCTCATGGATAAATATTTTATTTTCTCAAAAATATAAGGTTTTATTATAATGATAGAAAAATTTAAAAAATAATGACTTTTTCCTGTTAGAAAAAGTCTACATTTGAGATATACAGCAACTTAAGACTAAGAGTTATTAAACATCTCTTAAGAAAATTCAAATATCAATTACTAAGAGTAAAATCCAAACATAAAATACCCACGGAATAACAATGTCTTCTTTCTTTCCACATTTTGCGCAAACTTCAAGTTCACAGGCACATGGTCTGCACATTATGTGATAGGAATCTTTCACTGTCTTTTGTAAACATTTAACACTAAAAGTGAAAAAGAAAATTAAATATTAGTTTTTACTAATTATTTAAGATTTGTTTGACAAAGGATGTGACTAAATGCATAGGTGAAAAGCCTAAAAATCAAAACTCCTAGATTTTAAACTCAGATATTTGTCTTATGTCCCTTTTTTTATTTGAGACAGAGTCTTACTCTGTTGCCCGGGCTAGAGTGCTGTGGCATCAGCCTAGCTCATGCAACTTCAAACTCCTGGGCTCAAGCATCTTCTCTGCTCAGCCTCCTGAGTAGCTAGGACTACAAGCATGCACCCCATGCCTGCCTAATTTTTTCTCTATTATTTTAGTTGGCCATTAATTAATTATAATTATGTATATTTTTTAGTAGAGACGGGGTCTTGCTCTTGCTCAGGCTGCTTTCGAACTCCTGACCTTGAGCAGTCCTCCTGCCTCGGCCTTCCCAGAGTGTTAGGATTACAGGCTTGAGCCACTGCACCCGGCCCAATAACCTGAAATTTATATAAAGTATATCTTCTTTTTTTTTTTGAGCAGAGTCGCTTTGTTGCCCAGGCTAGAGTGAGTGCCGTGGCGTCAGCCTAGCTCCACAGCAACTCAACTCCTGGCTCAAAGCAATCCTCCTGCCTCACCTCCCAAGTAGCTGGGACTACAGGCATTCACACATGCCGGCTAATTTTTTTTTTTTTTGTATACATTAGTTGCCAATTAATTTCTTTCTATTTATAGTAGAGACGGGGTCTCGCTCTTGCTCAGGCTGGTTTCCAACTCCTGACTCGAGCAATCCCCCACCTCGGCCTCCCAGAGAGCTAGGATTACAGGCGTGAGCCACCGCGCCGGCCAAGTATATTTCTTGAAACAATTAATGACTAAAACTTAATAATAGAAAAATATCTGGAAAATGTCCAAATGTTTAGAAATTAAAACACTTCTAGATAATCTATAGGTCAAACAAGAATTCACAAGAAAAATTAGAAAATATTTTAAACGACAATGAAATCAATCTCAAATTTGCTAAATGAAGCTAAAGAAGTCTCAGGAAATTTATATACTAAAATTGCATTAAACAAGAAAAATTACCTAAACATCCACCTTTAGAAATTAGAAAAAGAAGAGCAAATTAAACTGAAAGAAAATGAAGGGAACAATAATGATAAGAACAGAAATGAATGATACTGAAAACATGACAATAAAGAAAAATCGATGAAACCCAAAGCAGGCTCTTTGAAAATCAATATATTAATACACATGGCCAATGATCCAGATAAAAGAGAGGACAAAAATAACAACATCAGGAATAAAAGGGAGACAGCACTCTAGATTTAACAGAACATTAAAAAGTAAGAAGACAATTTTATCTCTTCTCACTTGGCCTTGGCCTTTGGCTAACATCATGTGAAGAAGAAAAGTTTTAATCATCAACTCTTTGTACATAAATCCAACACTCTGTTGAAATGGACACAATTTTGAAAGATATAATACCAAAACCCATTCAGAAGAATAGATAACATAAAATCTTCTCTGTATTAAAGAAAAATTAAATCTAGTTTAAAACCACAAATCAGGCCAATGGCTTCACTGATGAATTCTATCAAAAATTTAAAATAATACTAGTTCTACACTAATCCTTCTTGAAAATCTAATAGGGAGGGTCACTTTTCAACTTATTTGATAAGGCCCTAATATCAAGATTAAAAAAAGATAAACTACGACCAGTATCTCTAATAACAAGATGTAAAAATATATCACAAATTTTAGCAAATCAAATCTAGCAATGTATAAAATCTATCAATTATATATAATTTCTTAGCAAGTGGTATTTATTCTGAGAATACAAAGCTCATTCAATATACAAAAGTCAAAAATGAAAATTCACAAGCAATGTTCAAGGAAGAAATCCATATATACGATGAATCTCAAAAGATGTGAAAAAGCTTTAACAAATTTGATATCCATTTATTTATATACAACTCTCAGTAAACTATGAATCAAGGAAATATACTCAACCTAATAAAAGATGTCTACAAAGAACTATAACTACTATAATCATACTTAATGACAAGAGACTGAATATCTTCCCCATAAAATCAGGAACGGGCAAGAATATCTGCTTTCACCACTCTTTTCAGCATCATATTGGTGGTCCTAAGTAGTAAATAAAACCAGGAAAAGAAGGTCACACAGATTGGAAAGAAGAAATAAAACTGTTCTTTATTTAGGAAAAAAAAATCATTGTCTATGTAGACAATCCCAAAGAATCTAAAAAAGGTACTATAAATAAAAAGCAAGTTTAAAAAGACACCAATATATAGGGTCAGTACACAAAATAAACTGTCTGTTTCTAGCATGACCATGGCTTTCTGTACAAATTGACAAGCTGATTCTAAAAGTTATTAATGAACTGTAAGTAGCCAGAACAATTTTGAAAAAGAAAAACAATGTTGGAGGATTCTCACTAACTGATTTCATACTTACAATAAAACTACAGAAACAGGTAGTATGGTATTGGGTGAAGGACAGAACACAGAGACCAATGGAACAGAAGAGTCCAGAAATAGACCACGTATATATAACCAATTGATTTTCAAGACAATTTAAAGGCAACTGAACAGAGAAAAGCTAGTCTTTTCAATAAGTGATGTTGGAACAACTGGATATCCTAAAATTAGCAGAAAATGGATCATAAGCTCAAATATAACCAAGAATACACAAATTCTAGAAGAAAAACAAGGAGATAACTATAACCTAAGCTAGGCAAAGAAAGATTTCTTATTACAATAATAAAACCATGATCCATGTATACCAAGGGACCAGCCCAACCTAGCCACTCTGTTTATAATAAATTTTGAGTTACCTTGTAGGTACACAGAGAAAAATGTGAGTCATGTAGCCTGGGATACACATTTTTTTTGAGACAGAGTCTCACTTTGTTGCCCAGGCTAGAGTGAGTGCCATGGCGTTAGCCTAGCTCACAGCAACCTCAAACTCCTGGGCTCAAGCAATCCTGCTGCCTCAGCCTCCAGAGTAGCTGGGACTACAGGCATGCGCACGATGCCGGCTAATTTTTTTTTCTATATATATTAGTTGGCCATTAATTTCTTTGTATTTATAGTAGAGACGAGGTCTCGCTCTTGCTCAGGCTGGTTTTGAACTCCTGACCTCGAGCGATCTCCCGCCTCGGCCTCCCAGCGTGCTAGGATTACAGGCGTGAGCCACGGTACGCCGGCCTCAGAAAAAGCTTTGACTCTACCACCATGTCAGAGTCAGATCCTACCCTTCAGAATCAAGAAGACTGGGACATAACTGGAACCTGAAGGCTGGATTTCTTCAGAAGAGGTCTGTGACCTGGACTAAACCTTGCCACCATTCCTTATAAGTGGTGAAATTTGAAGCCCTCCAATCAGACCCTGGGCAAGCCAAATCTTTTCCCTTGCTGCTCAGAGCCCATAAACTTGCCCCAGATCCAAATTGGGGAGACAGATTTGAGGCCACTCCTGTCTCCTTGCTGTCTGTGTTTGCAATAACGTTTTTCTTTTCTCAAAAGCAAGTGCCACATAGTAATGGCTTCTGTGTGCATTGGCAGTGAGCTCAATAACACATAAATCATTATTAGATGGAGCCTTCATCAGTGACTTAAGAAATCCTGCCGTCCACGTCCTTGTGAAATTAAAACACTTCTAGATAATCTATAGGTCAAACAAGAATTCACAAGAAAAATTAGAAAATATTTTAAACGACAATGAAAATACAACCTCAAAATTTGCTAAATGAAGCTAAAGAAGTTCTCAGGAAATTTATATAACTAAAAATTGCATTAAACAAGAAAAATTACCTAAACATCCACCTTTAGAAATAGAAAAAGAAGAGCAAATTAAACTGAAAGAAAATGAAGGGAACAATAATGATAAGAACAGAAATGAATGATACTGAAAACATGACAATAAAGAAAAATCATGAAACCCAAAGCAGGCTCTTTGAAAAGATCAATATAATTAATGAACACATGGCCAAACTGATCCAGATAAAAAGAGAGGACAAAAATAACCAACATCAGGAATAAAAGGGAGACAGCACTCTAGATTTAACAGACATTAAAATAGTAAGAAGACAATTTTATCTCTTCTCACTTGGCCTTGGCCTTTGGCTAACATCATGTGAAGAAGAAAAGTTTTAATCATCAACTCTTTGTACATAAATCCAACAACTCTGTTGAAATGGACACAATTTTTGAAAGATATAATACCAAAACCCATTCAAGAAGAAATAGATAACATAAATATTCTCTATGTATTAAAGAAAAATTTAATCATAGTTTAAAAACCACAAAAACTCCAGGCCCAAATGGCTTCACTGATGAATTCTATCAAAAATTTAAAAAATAATACTAGTTCTACACTAATCCTTCTTGAAAATCTAATAGGGAGGGTCACTTTTCAACTTATTTGATAAGGCCCTAATATCAAGATTAAAAAAAGACAAACTACAGACCAGTATCTCTAATAACATAGATGTAAAAATATATCACAAATTTAGCAAATCAAATCTAGCAATGTATAAAATCTATCAATATATATAAATTTCTTAGCCAAGTGGTATTTATTCTGAGAATACAAAGCTCATTCAATATACAAAAGTCAATAAATGAAATTCACAAAGCAATGTTCTAAGGAAGAAAATCCATATATACGATGAATCTCAAAAGATGTGAAAAAAGCTTTTAACAAAATTTGATATCCATTTATTATATATAACAACTCTCAGTAAACTATGAATCAAAGGAAATATACTCAACCTAATAAAAGATGTCTACAAAGAAACTATAACTACTATAATCATACTTAATGACAAGAGACTGAATATCTTCCCCATAAAATCAGGAACAGGGCAAGAATATCTGCTTTCACCACTCCTTTTCAGCATCATATTGGTGGTCCTAAGTAGTAAATAAAACCAGGAAAAGAAAAGGTCACACAGATTGGAAAGAAGAAATAAAACTGTCTTTATTTAGGAAA